AACCCTGAGAGAAAAATCCCAACCCTGAGAGAAAAAATCATAATCCTGAGGGGAAAATTCTAATCCTGAGGGAAAAACCTCAAAATTGAGAGAAAAATCCCAATCCTGAGGAGAAAAATCCCAACCCTGAGGGAGAAAATCCCAATCCTGAGGGGAAAATTCTAACTTTGAGGGAAAAATCCCAAAACTGAGAGAAAACTCTCAATCCTGAGGGGAAAAAAACCAATCCTGAAGGAGAAAATCCCAATCCTGGGGGAAAAAATTTCAAAATTGAGGGAAAAATTCCAATCCTGAGAGGAAAAATCCCAATCCTGAGGGGAAAAATCCCAATCCTGAGGAGAGAGATTCTAATCCTGAGGGGGGAAAATCCCAATCCTGAAGGAAAAATTCTAATTCTGAGGGAGAGATCCCAACCCTGAGAGAAAAATCCCAACCCTGAGAGAAAAAATCATAATCCTGAGGGGAAAATTCTAATCCTGAGGGAAAAACCTCAAAATTGAGAGAAAAATCCCAACCCTGAGGAGAAAAATCCCAACCCTGAGGGGAAAAATCCCAACCCTGAGGGGAAAAATCCCAATCCTGAGGGGAGAAATTCTAATCCTGAGGGGGAAAATCCCAATCCTGAGGGAAAAATTCTAATCCTGAGGGAAAAACCTCAAAATTGAGGGAAAAATCCCAACCCTGAGAGAAAAATCCCAACCCTGAGGGGAAAAATCCCAATCCTGAGGGGTAAATTCTAACTTTGAGACAAAAATCCCAAAACTGAGAGAAAAATCCCAACCCTGAGGGGAAAAATTCTAATCCTGAGGGGGAAAATCCCAATCCTGAGGGGAAAAATCCCAATCCTGAGGAGAGAGATTCTAATCCTGAGGGGGGAAAATCCCAATCCTGAAGGAAAAATTCTAATTCTGAGGGAGAGATCCCAACCCTGAGAGAAAAATCCCAACCCTGAGAGAAAAAATCATAATCCTGAGGGGAAAATTCTAATCCTGAGGGAAAAACCTCAAAATTGAGAGAAAAATCCCAACCCTGAGGAGAAAAATCCCATTCCTGAGGGGAAAAATCTAATCCTGAGGGAAAAACCTCAAAATTGAGAGAAAAATCCCAACCCTGAGGAGAAAAATCCCAACCCTGAGGGAGAAAATCCCAATCCTGAGGGGAAAATTCTAACTTTGAGGGAAAATTCCCAAAACTGAGAGAAAATTCTCTATCCTGAGGGGAAAAAAACCAATCCTGAAGGTGAAAATTCCAATCCTGGGGGAAAAAACGTCAAAATTGAGGGAAAAATTCCAATCCTGAGAGGAAAAATCCCAATCCTGAGGGGAAAAATCCCAATCCTGAAGGGAGAAATTCTAATCCTGAGGGGGAAAATCCCAACCCTGAGGGGCAAATCCCAACCCTGAGGGGAAAATCCCAACCCTGAGGGGAAAAACACCAACGCTGAGGGCAAAACCCCCAACCTTGAGGTGAAAACCCCAACCCTGAGGAAAATCCCACCCCGCAGCTCTTTGAGAAGAAGCTTCTCCCATCCCAAAAAAGTAAAAATAACAATCCAGAAGTTGGAAAAACTGGAATTTTTTTACCTCAGGAGAGTCTCCGTGGCAGGACAAGGAGCAGGTGAGTGTGTGCTCGCCCATGGTGTAGGGATACTGCTGCAGGAAACTGTGCATGGCCCGCGCCGATTTGGGGCTGTCCAGCTGCAGGATGGCCTGAGGGGTGAAAAAAATTCCAATTAATTCCTGAATTTCTGGATCAAATTATGGGAATTCTTCAAACTGCCCGGATCCCTCATTTCCTGCCGCTTTCCCGGTGTAAAAAGGGTGAAAAATCACCTTAAAATGTCATAATTCGGGTCCTAAAGGTGAGAATAATTTGGATTTTCTTGGGGTTTTTGGGATGTAAAAGAGATTTTTTTTTTGGATTTGAGGGATTTTTAAAAGTTTTCTGGTTTTTTGGGGGGAATTTTCCTTGGTTTTTTGGGATTTAAAAAAGATTTTTGAATTTAAAAAAGGTTTTTGATGGATTTTGGGAATTTAAAGATAATTTGCCTTGTTTTTTTGGGATTTAAAGGATATTTTTCTTGGATTTGGGGATTTTTAAAACACTGTTCTGTTTTTTTTGGGATTTACAAAATATTTTCTTGGATTTTAGGGGTTTAAAAAAGATATTTGATGGATTTTGGGGTTTAAAAAAGGTTTTTGATGGATTTTGGGATTTAAAGATAATTTTCCTTGGTTCTTTTTGGGATCTAAATAATATTTTTCTTGGATTTGGGGGATTTTTAGAAGTTTCCTGTTTTTTTGGCGGATTTTCCTTGATTTTGGGGATTTAAAGATTTTTGATGGGTTTTGGGATTTAAATACAGTTTATTTTTATTTTTATTTTTTTTTATTTAAAGACTATTTTTCTTGGATTTGGGGATTTTTATTTCCTGTTTTTGGCGGGTTTTTCCTTGTTTCTTTGAGATTTAAAAAAAATTTTTAGTGGATTTTTGGGATTTAAAAGAGAAAAAAAATCCCGAAAAAATCCCAAAAAATCCCCAAAAAAATCCCGAAAAAAATCCCAAAAAATCCCGAAAAAAATCCCAAAAAATCCCCCAAAAAATCCCCAAAAATCCCGAAAAAATCCCAAAAAATCCCCAAAAAAATCCCCAAAAAAATCCCCAAAAATCCCCAAAAAATCCCAAAAAATCCCGAAAAAAATCCCACAAAATCCTAAAAAATCCCGAAAAAAATCCCAAAAAATCCCCCCAAAAATCCCAAAAAATCCCCCCAAAAATCCCAAAAAATCCCCCAAAAAATCCCGAAAAAAATCCCAAAAAATCCCGAAAAAAATCCCAAAAAAATCCCGAAAAAAATCCCAAAAAATCCCCCAAAAAATCCCCAAAAAATCCCAAAAAATCCCCAAAAAAATCCCAAAAAAATCCCGAAAAATCCCCCAAAAAATCCCCAAAAATCCCAAAAAATCCCGAAAAAAATCCCAAAAAATCCCGAAAAAATTCCCAAAAAATCCCCAAAAAACCCCCCAAAAAATCCCGAAAAAAATCCCAAAAAATCCCCCCAAAAATCCCAAAAAATCCCAAAAAAAATCCCAAAAAACCCCCCAAAAAATACCAAAAAATCCCGAAAAAATCCCAAAAAATCACGAAAAAAATCCAAAAAAATCCCCCAAAAAATCCCAAAAAATCCCGAAAAAAATCCCAAAAAATCCTGAAAAAAATCCCAAAAAATCCTAAAAAATCCCGAAAAAAATTCCCCCAAAAATCCCAAAAAATCCCGAAAAAAATCCCCAAAAATCCCGAAAAAAATCCCCAAAAAATCCCAAAAAAAATCCCCAAAAATCCCAAAAAATCCCGAAAAAAATCCCCAAAAATCCCAAAAAAAATCCCCAAAAATCCCGAAAAAAATCCCAAAAAAATCCCAAAAAATCCCGAAAAAATCCCAAAAAATCCCGAAAAAAATCCCAAAAAATCCCCCAAAAAATCCCCAAAAAATCCAAAAATCCCTAAAAAAATCCCAAAAAATCCCGAAAAAAATCCCAAAAAATCCCGAAAAAAATCCCCCAAAAAATCCCAAAAAATCCCGAAATAAATCCCAAAAAAATCCCGAAAAAAATCCCAAAAAATCTCGAAAAAAATCCAAAAAAAATCCCAAAAAATCCCCAAAAAAATCCCCCAAAAAATCCCAAAAAATCCCGAAAAAAATCCCAAAAAATCCCGAAAAAATCCCAAAAAATCCCGAAAAAAATCCCAAAAAATCCCCAAAAAAATCCCCAAAAATCCCAAAAAATCCTAAAAAATCCCGAAAAAAATCCCGAAAAATCCCCAAAAATCCCAAAAAAATCCCGAAAAAAATCCCAAAAAATCCCCAAAAAATCCCAAAAAATCCCCCAAAAAATCCCAAAAAATCCCGAAAAAAATCCCAAAAAAATCCCGAAAAAATCCCAAAAAATCCCGAAAAAAATCCCAAAAAATCCCGAAAAAAATCCCCCAAAAAATCCCAAAAAATCCCGAAAAAAATCCCAAAAAATCCCGAAAAAAAATCCCAAAAAATCCCGAAAAAAATCCCAAAAAAAATCCCAAAAAATCCCCCAAAAAATCCTGAAAAAAATCCTAAAAAATCCCAAAAAATCCCGAAAAAAATCCCAAAAAATCCTGAAAAAAATCCCACAAAATCCTAAAAAATCCCGAAAAAAATCCCAAAAAATCCCCCAAAAAATACCGAAAAAAATCCCCCCAAAAAAATCCCAAAAAAGTCCCAAAAAATCCCCCCAAAAAATCCCCCAAAAAATCCCGAAAAAAATCCCCAAAAATCCCGAAAAAAATCCCAAAAAATCCTGAAAAAAATCCCCAAAAATCCCGAAAAAAATCCCAAAAAATCCCAAAAAAAGTCCCAAAAAATCCCGAAAAAAATCCCAAAAAATCCCGAAAAAAATCCCAAAAAACCCCCAAAAAAATCCCGAAAAAAATCCCAAAAAAATCCCGAAAAATTCCCCAAAAAATCCCCAAAAATCCCAAAAAATCCCGAAAAAAATCCCAAAAAATCCCGAAAAAATTCCCAAAAAATCCCAAAAAAAATCCCCCAAAAATCCCGAAAAAAATCCCAAAAAAATCCCGAAAAAAATCCCAAAAAATCCCCAAAAAAATCCCCAAAAATCCCGAAAAAAATCCCAAAAAATCCCCCCAAAAATCCCAAAAAAACCCCCAAAAAATCCCAAAAAACCCCCCAAAAAATACCAAAAAATCCCGAAAAAATCCCAAAAAATCCCGAAAAAAAATCCCAAAAAATCCTGAAAAAATCCCAAAAAATCCCGAAAAAATCCAAAAAAACCCCCCAAAAAATCCCCCAAAAAATCCCAAAAAATCCCCAAAAAAATCCCAAAAAAAATCCCCCAAAAATCCCAGAAAATCCCGAAAAAAATCCCAAAAAATCCCCAAAAAAATCCCCAAAAATCCCCAAAAATCCTAAAAAATCCCGAAAAAAATCCCGAAAAAAATCCCAAAAAATCCCGAAAAAAATCCAAAAAAAATCCCCAAAAAATCCCAAAAAAATCCCAAAAAATCCCGAAAAAAATCCCAAAAAATCCCCCAAAAAAATCCCAAAAAATAAAAAAATCCCTAAAAAAATCCCAAAAAATCCCGAAAAAAATCCCAAAAAATCCCGAAAAAAATCCCAAAAAATCCCAAAAAAAATCCCCAAAAAAATCCCAAAAAATCCCGAAAAAAATCCCAAAAAATCCCAAAAAATCCCCAAAAAATCCTAAAAAATCCCCCCAAAAATCCCAAAAAATCCCGAAAAAAATCCCACAAAATCCTAAAAAATCCCGAAAAAAATCCCAAAAAATCCCGAAAAAAATCCCCAAAAAACCCCCAAAAAATCCAAAAAAATCCCGAAAAAAATCCCAAAAAATCCCGAAAAAAATCCAAAAAAAATCCCAAAAAATCCCGAAAAAAATCCCAAAAAAACCCCTAAAAATTCCCTCTAAATCCCCCACCCCCCTGGTGTTTTTCCCGTTGTTTTTCCCGCATTCCTGGTGCCGTTACCCGGTGCCGGTTGCTGAGCACGGCGTAGTGCTCCACCTTTCCAAAACGCAGCCCCGCGCAAACAACCTCCAGCTCCCGGAATCCATCGGCTGGGAGATTCCCCAGGAGCACCAGGTGAGCACGGAGAGAGGAGGAATCCAGCTGGAAAAACGGGAAAAAATGGGAATAAATGGAATTCTGGAGGGGAAAAATGGGGAATAATGGGAAATGGGGGGGAAAGGGGGCGGGAAAGGGAGGAAAATAAAGGGAAAAGGGAAAAAAAGGGAAGGGAAAAGGGGGAAAAAGAAGATAAAGGAGACGAAAATGGGGAAAAGAAAAGGGGAAAAAGAGGGATGGGGGAAAAGGAAGGAGGAAAAAGAGAAAAAGAAGAAAAAGGAAAGGGGAAAAGGGAGGAAAATGGGAGGAAAAGAAAGGGAAAAGGGAAAAAAGGAATGGGAAAAGGGAAAGGAGGAAAAGGAATGGGAAAGGAGAGGGGAAAAGAGAAAAAAGGGAGAAAAAGGAGAAAAATGGGAAGAAAAGAAGAGGAAAAAGAAGAAAAAGGAAGGGGAAAGGAGGGAAAAAGAGGGAAAATGAAGGGGAAAATGGGAAAAAATGGGAGAAAAAGAAGTGGAAAAGGGGGGAAAAGAAGAGGAAAGGAGGAAAAGGGGAAAAAGAAGAAAAAGGAAAGGGGAAAAGGGAGGAAAATGGGAGGAAAAAAAGAGGAAAAAGGAAAAAGGGAATGGGAAAAGGGAAGGGGAAAGGAGAAGGAAATAAAGAGGGAAAAGGAATGGGAAAGGAGAGGGAAAAAGAGGAAAAAGGAAGAGAAATGGGAAGAAAAGGAGAGGAAAAAGAAGAAAAAGGGAGAAGAAAGGAGGAGAAAAGGAGGAAAAAAGGGGGAAAAAGAGGGAAAATGAATGGGAAAATGGGAAAAAATGAGAGGAAAAGAAAGGAAAAAGGGAAAAAAGGAAGAGGAAAGGAGGAAAAGGGAAAAAGAAGAAAAAGGAAAGGAAAAAAGGGAGAAAAATGGGAAAAAGAAGGGGAGAGGGAAAAAAGGGGAAAGGGAAGGGGGAAAGGGGAAAAGGGGGAAAGGAGAGGGAAAAAGAGAAAAATGGGAGGAAAAGGAGAAAAATGGGAAGAAAAGAAGAGGAAAAAGAAGAAAAAGGAAGGGGAAAGGAGGGAAAAAGAGGGAAAATGAAGGGGAAAATGGGAAAAAATGGGAGAAAAAGAAGTGGAAAAGGGGGGAAAAGAAGAGGAAAGGAGGAAAAGGGGAAAAAGAAGAAAAAGGAAAGGGGAAAAGGGAGGAAAATGGGAGGAAAAAGGAAAAAAAGGGAAGGGAAAAGGGGGGAAAAAGAAGATAAAGGAGAGGAAAATGGGGAAAAGAAAAGAGGAAAAAGAGGGATGGGGAAAAGGAAGGAGGAAAAAGGGAAAAAGAAGAAAAAGGAAAGGGGAAAAGGGAGGAAAATGGGAGGAAAAAAAGAGGAAAAAGGAAAAAGGGAATGGGAAAAGGGAAGGGGAAAGGAGAAGGAAATAAAGAGGGAAAAGGAATGGGAAAGGAGAGGGAAAAAGAGGAAAAAGGAAGAGAAATGGGAAGAAAAGGAGAGGAAAAAGAAGAAAAAGGGAGAAGAAAGGAGGAGAAAAGGAGGAAAAAAGGGGGAAAAAGAGGGAAAATGAATGGGAAAATGGGAAAAAATGAGAGGAAAAGAAAGGAAAAAGGGAAAAAAGGAAGAGGAAAGGAGGAAAAGGGAAAAAGAAGAAAAAGGAAAGGAAAAAAGGGAGAAAAATGGGAAAAAGAAGGGGAGAGGGAAAAAAGGGGAAAGGGAAGGGGGAAAAGGGGAAAAAGAGGGGAAAGGAAGAAGGAAAAAGGAGAAAAATGGGAGGAAAAGAAAGGAAAAAGGGAAAAAAGGGGAAAAGAGAAAGGGAAAAGGAAGGGGGGAAAGGGAAGGGGAAAAAGGAGGGGAAAAGAAGAAAAAGGAAGAAGAAAATAGGAAAAAATGGGAGGAAAAGAAAGGGAAAAGGGAAAAAGGGAATGGGAAAGGGGAAAGGAGGAAAAGGAATGGGAAAGGAGAGGGGAAAAGAGAAAAAAGGGAGAAAAAGGAGAAAAATGGGAAGAAAAGAAGAAGAAAAATGAAGGGGAAAGGAGAGAAAAAGGGGGAAAAAGAGGGAAAATGGGAAAAAATGGGAGGAAAAGAAGTGGAAAAGGGGGAAAAGGAAGAGGAAAGGAGAAAAAGGGGAAAAAGAAGAAAAAGGAAAGGGGAAAAGGGAGGAAAATGGGAGGAAAAGGGAAAAAAAGGGAAAGGAAAAGAGGGAAAAGGGAAGGGAAAAGGGGGGAAAAGAAAACAGAGGAGGGGAAAATGGGGAAAAGAAAAGGGGAAAAAGAGGGATGGGGGAAAAGGAAGGAGGAAAAAGAGAAAAAGAAGAAAAAGGAAGAAGAAAAGGGAAAAAATGGGAGGAAAAAAAGAGGAAAAGGGAAAAAGGGAATGGGAAAAGGGAAAGGAGGAAAAGGAATGGGAAAGGAGAGGGAAAAAGAGAAAAAAGGGAGAAAAAGGAGAAAAATGGGAAGAAAAGAAGAAGAAAAATGAAGGGGAAAGGAGAGAAAAAGGGGGAAAAAGAGGGAAAATGAAGGGGAAAATGGGAAAAAATGGGAGGAAAAGAAAGGAAAAAGGGGGAAAAGGAACAGGAAAGGAGAAAAGGGGAAAAAGAAGAAAAAGGAAAGGGGAAAAGGGAGGAAAATGGGAGGAAAAAAAGAGGAAAAGGGAAAAAGGGAATGAGAAAAGGGAAAGGAGGAAAAGGAATGGGAAAGGAGAAGGAAAAAGAGAAAAAAGGGAGAAAAAGGAGAAAAATAGGAAGAAAAGAAGAGGAAAAAGAAGAAAAAGGAAGGAAAAAGAGAAAAAAGGGAGAAAAAGGAGAAAAATAGGAAGAAAAGAAGAGGAAAAAGAAGAAAAAGGAAAAGAAAATGGGAAAAAAAAGGGAGGAAAAGAAGGGGAAAAAGGGGGAAAAGGAAAAGGAAAGGAGGAAAAAAGGGGAAGGGAATGGAAAAGGAAAAAAAAAGGGGAAAAAGAAAAGGAAAAGGAGAAAAAACAAAGGGAAAAAGAGAGAAAAGGATGGAGGAAAAATGGAAAAAAGGAAAGGGGAAAAAAAAGGGAAAAGGGAAGGAAAAGGGGGAAAAGTGGGAAAAAAGGGAGGGAAAAAGAAAAAAAGGGATAAAAGGGAAAAAACAGAAGTGAAAAAGGAGAAATAAGGAGAAAAGAAAAAAAAGAGAAAAAAAAAAATAACAAAGAAAATTGGGATAATGTGGGGAAAAAATTTGGGATAATGAGGGGAAAAAATTTGGAAAATGTGGGAAAAAATTTGGGATAATGAGGGACAAAAATCAGGATAAAGAGAGAAAAAACTTGGGATAACAAGAGAAAAAAATTGGGATAATGTGGGAAAAAATTGGGATAAACAGGGACAAAAATTGGGATAATGAGAGAAAAAGTTTGGGATAACAAGGAAAATAATTTGAAATAAAGAGAGAAAAAATTGGGATAATGAGGGAAAAAATTTGGGATAATGAGGGACAAGAACTGGGATAATGTGGGGAAAAATCTGGATAAAGAAGGGAAAAAATTTGGGATAATGAGGGAAAAAAATTGGGATAATGAGGGACAAAAATTTGGGATAATGAGGGACAAAAATTGGGAAAATGTGGGGAAAAATTTGGGATAATGAGGGGAAAAATTTGGATAATGTGGGGAAAAAATTGGGATAATGTGGGGGAAAAAAATTTGGATAATGAGGGGAAAAATTTGGGATAATGAGGGAAAAAATTGGGATAAAGAGGGGAAAAAATTTGAAATAAAGAGAGAAAAAACTTGGGATAATGAGGGAAAAAAACAGGATAATAAAGGGAAAAAAATTGGGATAACAAGAGAAAAAAATTGGGAAAATGTGGGGAAAAAATTGGGATAATGAGGGACAAAAATTTGGGATAATTAGGGAAATATTTTGGGATAAAGAGAGGAAAAATTGGGATAATAAGGGACAAAAATTTGGGATAAAGAGAGAAAAAATTTGGGATAACGTGGGGAAAAATTTGGGATAAAGAGGGACAAAAATTGGGATAATGAGGGGAAAAAATTTGGGATAAAGAGCAAAAAAATTTGGGATAATGAGGGGAAAAAATTTGGGATAAAGAGGGAATAAATTGGGATAATGAGGGACAAAAATTTGGGATAATGAGGAACAAAAATTGGGATAATGAGGGACAAAAATTTGGGATAATGAGGAACAAAAATTGGGATAATGAGGGGAAAAAATCAGGATAATAAAGGAAAAAACTTGGGATAACAAGAGAGAAAAATTGGGAAAATGAGAGAAAAAATTTGGGATAATGAGGGAAAAAATTGGGATAGTGAGGGACAAAAATTTCGGATAATGAGGGGAAAAAAATCAGGATAAAGAGACAAAAAATTTGGGATAATAAAGGGAAAAATCTGGGATAAAGTGGGAAAAAATTTGGGATAAAGAGAGAAAAAAATTGGGATAATGAGGGACAAAAATTGAGATATTGAGGGAAAATATTTGGGATAATGAGGGAAAGAATTGGGATAATGAGAGAAAAAATTGGGAAAATGTGGGGAAAAAATTGGGATAATGAGGGATGAAAATTTGAGATAATGAGGGACAAAAATTTGGATAAAGAGGGGAAAAAATTGGGATAATGAGAAAAAATTTGGGATAACGAGGGAAAAAATATGGGACAATGAGGGGAAAAAATGGGATAATGAGAAAAATTTGGGATAATGAGAGAAAAAATTTGGGAGAATGTGGGGAAAAGATTGGGATAATGAGAGGAAAAATTGGGATAATGAGGGGAAAAAATTGGGATAATAAGGGACAAAAATTTGGGATAAAGAAAGAAAAACCTTGGGATAATGAGGGAAAAAAATCAGGATAATAAGGGGAAAAAACTTGGGATAACAAGAGAAAAAAATTGGGAAAATGTGGGGAAAAATTGGAATAATGAGGGAAAAAATTGGAATAATGAGGGGAAAAAATTTGGGATAATGAGGGACAAAAATTGGGATAATGAGGGAAAAAATTGGGATAACGAGAGAAAAAATATGGGACAATGAGAGAAAAATTTGGGATAATGAGAGAAAAAATTTGGGATAATGAGGGAAATAATTTGAAATAAAGAGAGAAAAACCTTGGGATAATGAGGGAAAAAAATCAGGATAATAAGGGGAAAAAACTTGGGATAACAAGAGAAAAAAATCGGGAAAATGTGGGGAAAAATTTGGGATATTGAGGAAAAAAATTTGGGATAATGAGAGAAAAAATTTGGGATAATGTGGGGAAAAATCTGGGATAACGAGGGGAAAAAATTGGGATAATGAGGGACAAAACCTGGGATAATGTGGGGAAAAAAATTTGGGATAATGAGGGAAAAATTTGGGATAATGAGGGGAAAAAATTGAAATAAAGAGAGAAAAAACTTGGGATAATGAGGGGAAAAAATTGGGAAAATGAGGGGAAAAAATTGGATAAAGAGGGGAAAAATTGGGATAATGAGAGGAAAATTTGGGATAATGAGGGGAAAAAATTTGGGATAATGAGGGGAAAAAATTTGGATAAAGAGGGACAAAATTGGGATAATGAGAGGAAAAATTGGGATAATGAGGGAAAAAATTGGGATAAAGTGGGGAAAAAATTTGGGATAATGTGGGGAAAAAATTGGGATAATGAGGGACAAAAATTGGGAAAATGTGGGGAAAAAAATGGGATATTGAGGGAAAAAATTTGGGATAATGTGGGGAAAAGTTTGGGATAATGAGAGAAAAAAATTGGGATAATGAAAGAAAAAAATTGGGATAATGTGGGGAAAAATTTGGGATAATGAGGGACAAAAATTTGGGATAATGAGGGGAAAAAATTTGGGTAAAGAGGGACAAAAATTTGGGATAATGAGGGGAAAAAATTGGGAAAATGAGGGAAAAAATTGGGATAACAAGAGAAAAATTTGGGATAATGAGGGACAAAAATTTGGGATAATGAGGGGAAAAAATTGGGATAACCAGGGAAAAAATTGGGAAAATGTGGGGAAAAATTGGGATAATGAGGGGAAAAAAATTGGGATAATGAGGGAAAAAAATCAGGATAATAAAGGAAAAAACTTGGGATAACAAGAGAAAAAATTTGGGATAATGAGGGACAAAAATTGGGATAATGAGGGGAAAAAATTGGGATAATGAGGGGAAAATTTGGGATAATGAGGGCAAACTCACCTTGGGATTGGAATCCTTGATGAGGGCAGTGAAAATCGCTTCCTTGAGAGAAAATAAAAAGGAATTAAAGCTTCATTAATAATTATTAATAATGGATTAATAATTAATTAGTTAAGAATTGATGAATAATAATGGAAAAGATCATCAGGTCAAAAAATATTTGCCAGGGTCAATTCCCACAAATTCCTCCAAAATTCCTCAACCTCACAATTCCCAAAATTCCTAAAATTCCCACAATTCCCAAAATTCCCACAATTCCCAAAATTCCCACAATTCCCAAAATTCCCATAATTCCCCAAAATTCCCACAATTCCCCAAAATTCCCACAATTCCTAAAAATTCCCACAATTCCCCAAACTCCCACAATTCCCCAAAATTCCCAAAATTCCCCAAAATTCCCAAAATTCCCCAAAATTCCCACAATTCCCAAAATTCCCACAATTCCCAAAATTCCCAAAATTCCCACATTTCCTAAAATTCCCACAATTCCCGCAATTCCTAAAATTCCCAAAGTTACCACAATTCCCACAAATCCCAGGTTTTTTCCAGGAATTTCCCAAATTTTTCCCTGGAATTTCCCAGGATTTTTCCTGGAATTTCCCAGGATTTTTCCATGACTTTTCCAGGATTTTTCTGGGAATTTCCCAGAGTTTTTTCCAGGATTTTCCCAGGAATTTCCCAGGAATTTTTTCCATGACTTTTCCCAGGATTTTCCTGGGAATTTCCCAGGGCTTTTCCATGACTTTTCCAGGTTTTTTCCAGGAATTTCCCAGAATTTTTTCCTGGAATTTCCCAGGATTTTTCCCAGGAATTCCTCAGGATTTTTTCCTGGAATTTCCCAGGTTTTCCCCCGGAATTTCCCAGGACTTTTCCATGACTTTTTCCAGGAATTTCCCAGAATTTTTCTGAGAATTCCCCAGGATTTTCCCAGGAATTTCCCACAATTTTCCCAGGAATTTCCCAGAATTTTTCCTGGAATTTATCAGGATATTTTTCCATGACTTTTCCCAGGATTTTTCCCAGGAGTTTCCCAGAATTTTCCCAGAAATTTCCCAGGATTTTTTTCCATGACTTCCCCAGGATTTTCCCGGGAATTTCCCAGTTTTTTTCCAGGAATTTCCCAGATTTTCCCGTGACTTCTCCAGGATTTTTCTGGGAATTTCTCAGGTTTTTTTTCCATAACTTTTCCAGGATTTTTCCAAGAATTTCCCAGGATTTTTCCATGACTTTTCCAGGATTTTTTCCAGGAATTTCCCCCAGAATTCCCAGGAATTCCCCAGGATTTTTTCCCGTAATTTCCCAGAATTTTTCCAGGAATTTCCCAGGATTTTTCCCCAGAATTTCCCAGGATTTTTTCCAGGAATTTCACAGGATTTTTCCATGACTTTTCCCAGATTTTTTCCAGGAATTTCCTCCAGTATTCCCGGGAATTCCCGAGAATTTTTCTGGGAATTTCTCAGGATCTTTTTCCATGACTTTTCCAGGATTTTCCCAGGATTTTTCCATGACTTTTCCAGGATTTTTCCGGGAATTTCCCAGGATTTTTCCAGGAATTTCCCAAGTTTTTCCCAGGAATTTCCCAGGATTTTTCCCCAGAATTTTCCAGGATTTTTTCCAGGAATTTCACAGGATTTTCCCAGGAATTTCCCAGGATTTTTCCCAGGTTTCTTCCCGGATTTTCCCAGGAATTTCCCCCAGGATTCCCAGGAATTTCCCAGGTTTTTTCCCGGAATTTTCCAGGATTTTTCCATGATTTTTCCAGGATTTTTCCGGGAATTTCCCAAGTTTTTCCCAGAATTTCCCAGGATTTTTCCCCAGAATTTTCCAGGATTTTTTCCAGAAATTTCCCAGAATTTTCCCAGGAATTTCCCAGGATTTTTCCATGACTTTTCCAGGATTTTCCCAGGATTTTCCCAGGATTTTTCCATGACTTTTCCAGGTTTTTTCCAGGAATTTCCCAGGATTTTTTCCCAGGAATTTCCCAGGATTTTTCCAAGAATTTCCCAGATTTTCCTGTGACTTCTCCAGGATTTTTCTGGGAATTTCCCCCAGGATTCCCGGGAATTTCCCAGGAATTTCCCTGGAATTTCCCAGGATTTTTCCATGACTTTTCCATGACTTTTCCAGGATTTTCCCAGGATTTTTCCATGACATTTCCAGGATTTTTTCCAGGAATTTCCCCCAGGATTCCCGGGAATTTTCCAGGATTTTTCCGGGAATTTCCCAGGATTTTTTCCCCGGAATTTCCCAGGACTTTTCCATGACTTTTCCAGGATTTTTCCGGGAACTTCCCAGGATTTTTCCGGGAATTTCCCAGAATTTTTCCCAGAATTTTCCCAGGAATTTCCCAGGATTTTCCCAAGAATTTCCCAGTTTTTTCCATGACTTCTCCAGGATTTTCCCGGGAATTTCCCCCAGCATTCCCGGGAATGTCACCTCGTCTCGGAGCGAGCCGTGCCGAGGCTCGGGCCGGATCTGCAGCTGATTCCCGTCCAGGAAAATCGGGAAACATCCGTAAAACTTCACCATGGAATCCGCGGCTTTCCGGGAGATCTCCAGGTACGCCTGGAAAACAATCCCAAAGATCCCAAAATCCCCGGGAATTTACACCAAAAATTGGAAAAATATTCCCAAAGATCCCCAAAAAATCCCCAGGAATTTCCACCAAAAAATGGAAAAATAATCCCAAAGATCCCCAAAAAATTCCCAGGAATTTTCAGCAAATTCCCCCAAAATCCCCAGGAATTTCCATCAAAAATTCCCAAAACAATCCCAAAAATTCCCAGGAATTTCCACCTCAAAAGAGCAAAATGATCCCAAAAATTCCCCAAAAATTCCCAAGAATTTACACCAAAAAAACTCAAAACAATCCCAAAAATTCCCAAAAAATTCCCAAGACTTTGCACCAAAAATTCCCAGGAATTTCTATCAAAAAAGAGCAAAATAATCCCAAAAATTCCCCCCCAAAATTCCCAGGAACTTCCACCAAAAAATCTCAAAACAATCCCAGATTCCCAAAAAATCCCCAGGAATTTTCAGCAAATTCCCCCAAAATTCCCACGAATTTCCACCAAAGAATCTCAAAACAATCCCAAAAATTTTCCCCCCAAATTCCCACGAATTTCCATTAAAAAATCCCAAAAATTCCCCAAAAAATTCCCAAGAATTTCCACAAAAAAATGGAAAAACAATCTCAAAGATTCACAAAAAATCCCCAGGAATTTCCACCAAAGAATGGAAAAACAATCCCAAAGATTCCCAAAAATTCCCAAGAATTTTCACCAAAAAATTCCCAAAACAATCCCAAAAATTCCCAAAAAATTCCCAAGAATTCCCCCGAAAAATTCTCAGGAATTTCCACCAAAAAAAATCCCAAAACAATCCCAAAGATTCCCAAAAGATTCCCAGGAATTTTCAGCAAATTCCCCCCCAAAATTCCCACGAATTTCCACCAAAAAATCTCAAAACAATCCCAAAAATTTTCACCCCAAATTCCCAGGAATTTCCATTAAAAAATCCCAAAAATTCCCCAAAAAATTCCCAAGAATTTCCACCAAAAAATGGAAAAATAATCTCAAAGATTCCCAAAAATCCCCAGGAATTTCCACCAAAGAATGGAAAAACAATCCCAAAGATTCCCAAAAATCCCCAGGAATTTCCACCAGAAAATGGAAAAATAATCCCAAAGATCCCCAAAAATCCCCGGGAATTTACACCAAAAATTGGAAAAATAATCCCAAAGATCCCAAAAATCCCCAGGAATTTACACCAAAAAAGAGCAAAATAATCCCAGAGATTGCCAAAAAATCTCCAGGAATTTTCAGCAAATTCCCCCCCAAAATTCCCAGGAATTTCCACCCAAAAAGAGCAAAATAATCCCAAAAATTCCCCCCAAAATCCCCGGGAATTTCCACCAAAAAATTCCCAAAATAATCCCAAAGATCCCCAAAAAATCCCAAGAATTTCCACCAAAAAATGGAAAAATAATCCCAAAGATCCCAAAAATCCCCGGGAATTTACACCCAAAAAGAGCAAAATAATCCCAAAGATTCCCAAAAATCCCCAGGAATTTCCACCAAATTCCCCCCAAAATTCCCAGGAATTTCCACCAAAAAATCCCAAAACAATCCCAAAAATTCCCAGAAATTTCCACAAAAAAATCCCCCCAAAATCCAAAAAATTCCCCAAAAAATCTCCTAAAAATCCTCAAAAAATCCCCCCAAAATCCTCAAAAATCCTTAAAAAAATGATGAAAAAAATTCCCAAAATTCCTTCAAAAATTCCATAAAATTCCCCCCAAAAAACCCCCAGAATTCCAAAAATTTCCCTAAAAAATCCCCAAAAAATCTTCTAAAAATCAACAAAAATTTCTAAAAAACTCTTAAAAAAATAATGGAAAAAATTCCCAAAATTCCCCTCCAAAAAAACCCCAAAGTTCCAAAAACTTCCCCCAAAAGTTCCCTAAAAAATCCCCCCAAAATTATGAAAAAAATCCAAAAAAAATCTAAAAAAACTCCAAAAAAATTCCAAAAATCCCCAAAAAATCTCCAAAAAATTCTAAAAAATTATTGAAGAATGATTAAAAAAATCCCAAAATTCCTTCAAAAATTCCCTAAAATTCCCCAAAAAAAACCCCCAAAATCCCCAAAATTTTCCCCCAAAAATTCCCTAAAAAATCCAAAATAATCCCTAAAAAATTATGAAAATAATCCAAAAAAATCTAAAAAAAATCCCCCCCAAAAATCCCAAAACAATCCCAAAAATTTTCCCCAAAAAATTCCTTAAAAAATCCAAAATAATCCCTAAAAAATTATGAAAAAAATCCAAAAAAACCCCCCCAAAATTCTAAAGAATTCCAAAAATCCCCCAAAATTCCTTCATAAATCCCAAAAATTTCCCCCCAAAAAATCTCCTAAAAATCCTCAAAAATTTCTAAAAATACTCTTAAAAAATAATGAAGAAAATTCCTGAAATTCCTTCAAAAATTCCCTAAAATTCCCCCAAAAAAACCCCCAAAAATCCCCAAAATTTTCCCCCCAAAATTCCCTAAAAAATCTAAAATAATCCCTAAAAAATTCTGAAAAAAATAAAAAAAAAAATTTAAAAAAAATCCCCAAAAAATCCTAAAAAAATCCCCAAAAATCCCTAAAAAATTATGAAAAAAATAAAAAAAAATCCCAAAAAATCCCAAAAAAATCCCCCAAAAATCCCCAAAAATCTCTAAAAAATTATGAAAAAAAAAAAAAATAAAAAAATCCCAAAAAATTCCCCAAAAATCCCTAAAAAATTATGAAAAAATTACAAAAAAAATTCTAAAAAAAATCCCAAAAAAATCCCCAAAAAATAAAAAAAATCCCCAAAAATCCCTAAAAAATTCTGAAAAAAATAAAAAAAAAATCCCAAAAAAATTCCCCAAAAATCCCCAAAAAATAAAAAAAAAAAATCCAAAAAAATTCCAAAAAAATCCCTAAAAATCCCTAAAAAATGATGAAAAAAATCCAAAAAAATTTAAAAAAAATCCAAAAAAAATCCCCAAAAATCCCTAAAAAATTATGAAAAAAATAAAAAAAAATCTAAAAAAAATCCCAAGAAAATCCCCAAAAATCCTTAAAAAATTATGGAAAAAATCCAAAAAAAATTTAAAAAAATCCCAAAAAAATCCCAAAAAAATCCCCAAAAAATCCAAAAAAATCCCAAAAAAATCTCAAAAAAATCCAAAAAAATCCCCAAAAATCCCTAAAAAATTATGAAAAAAAATCCCCAAAAAATTCTAAAAAATATCCAAAAAAAATCCAAAAAAAATCCCAAAAAATCCAAAAAAAATCCAAAAAAAACTCCAAAAAAAATCCAAAAAAATTCCCAAAAAATCCCTATAAAAATTCCCGTTTTTTCCCCAAGAATTCCCAGGGAATTCCCGTTACCTTTTTATGGGAAGAGAGGATGAGCAGATCCCGGAGGCCCCCGAAGGGCTTGGCCAGGTTGGAGATTTCCTCCTCGGAATATCCCTTGTCGGGGAGGTTGGAGATGAGGAGAACGCAGGAATCCTCGGAATCCTGGCGGGAATTCCGGCCTTGGAGCGCGATCCGCGGGAATTCCGGCATTCCCGGGGGATTGTGGGGGATTTCCAACCTTCCCACAATTCCCAAAGTTCCCAAAATTCCCAAAATTCCCAATTCCCGACATCCCCACTATTCCCAGAATTCCCAATTCCCGACATCTCCACAATTCCCAAATTCCCAATTCCCATTTCCAAAACTCCCAAATTCCCAATTCCCAACATCCCCACAATTCCCAACATCCCCACAATTCCAAAAATTCCCAATTCCCAAAGTTCCCAAAATTCCCAAAGTTCCCAAAATTCCCAAAATTCCCAAAATTCCCAAATTCCCGACATCCCCACAATTCCCAGAATTCCCAAAATTCCCAATTCCCATTTCCAAAATTCCCAAATTCCCAATTCCTGACATCCCCACTATTCCCACAATTCCCAAAATTCCCAAAATTCCCAAAATTCCCAAATTCCCAACATCCCCACAATTCCCAGAATTCCCAAAATTCCCAATTCCCATTTCCACAATTCCCAAATTCCCAACATCCCCACAATTCCCAAAGTTCCCAAAATTCCCAAAATTCCCAATTCCCAACATCCCCACAATTCCAAAAATTCCCAATTCCCAAAATTCCCAAAATTCCCAATTCCCGACATCCCCACAATTCCCCAAATTCCCAGTATTTCCATAATTCCCAAATTCCCAACATTTTCACAATTCCCAAAATACCCAAAATTCCCAAAATTCCCAATTCCCAACATCCCCACAGTTCTCAGAATTCCCAAATTTCCCAAAATGCCCAAAATTCCCAGCATTCCCAACCTTCCCCCAATCCCACCATTCTCAGAATTCCCACAATTCCCAACATTCCCAGAATTCCCCAATTCCCAAAATTCCCAAATTCCCAAATTCCCAATTCCCAAATAATTCCCAACATTCCCAAAATGCCCCAAAATTCCCAGGATTCCCAACATTCCCACAATTCCCCGATTCCCACAATTCCCAACATCCCCACGATTCTCGGAATTCCACAATTCCCAAAATTCCCCCAATTCTCAGAATTCCTGGAATTCCACGATTCCCAGCATTCCCCCAACTCCCAGAATTCCCAGAATTCCAAATGTTCCCACAATTCCCAGAATTCCCAAAATTCCCAATTCCCAAATTCCCAACCTTCCCCCAATCCCAGCATTCTCAGAATTCCCAAATTTCCCACAATTCCCCAACCCCCCCCCCC